GGACATTTCAGTCTTGATGTGCAGACTCAACAGGAGCGGCCTTCTCCATTAACATTCCAACTGCTTTTCCTAGCCTTTGGCTTTAAGAACAAAACACAACAAACCATTTTTTCTCGGTAACATCACTCTAAAAAACAGAAGAAACCTCTAACCGTTTCTTTTCCTTTGGGGCTACAGAAGACACCAGAGGTAATTTGTCAAATCACAGAAAATGCTTCCTTTGTAATCCAGTACCTGTGGAATGTCTTAATAAAGCCATTTTGGCGAGAGAGTAACCTTTAGTTTTTGGTTTTCTTTAATGGCAACACGGAAAGAGAGCCAGAGAGGGACCTTTATGTAATATTTCTGCAAAGACGAAAGGGGGGGGGAGGTGTCCTGTTGATGCGCTGCTTTGAGACGCAGCTGGACACCTCCCCACCATCTGGCTGGTCCTGAGACCCCATGAACCCTGGTTATGGCTTCCAGGTGAGGTCGGTGTGATGGAATTTTGTGGAAATCTTAAAAAAATGAGAGTATTTATTTGTGTAGGGATGTTGTGTTGCCAATTACACCTTTATCTTGGCTTCAGCCGGTTTAGCAACTGGTAATGATTTTAAAAATAATGTTTATAAAGAGAAAAAAGAAAAGCCCGATTCAGTCTCACATGCCGGGCAGTGCCTTTGAGAAGACGGGGCCGCTCAGAGTGGTATAGATTTACCAGATGAGCGGGATATAAATCAAATAAATAAATAAATAAATAAAATAAATGGTGTCTGGCAGCCGGCCAGTCTTGCCTTCAGTTCTCTGCTGTGACTGGCAGGAGATTTTGCCGTCGTGTGCTCCGTGATCTCGAACAAGGCCAGCTAAAAGGGACGGACCTCACTCTTCTTCTCCAGCGGCAAGGGGGAGGACTTGAACCCATGGCCTTAAGGGCCTACAGTCCTGTCTTCTCAAAATCCACTGGGCTCGGCATGCGCTACGGGCCTTCCAAAAATTTGGGAAGGCTAGGCGTTCATCAGAACGTTCACCATCACCACCATCACCATAGAAGGAGAGTCCAAAATTACAGGCAGGTGGATGAGTCGTAATAAATAGATGAGGAACGGGTCTTTGGTGAAGTTAATGGCCCTTAGTTGCCCATACAAGACCAAACGACAGGGACAGCTTCAGCAGAGCACTGTTCCTGTGAAAATGCACCTCTTTCTCTCCGAGACGGTAAGGACTGCTCCTCATCTCACAAAAAACAGCAAAGCCTCGGAGGGGTGGCGGATGATGCTGTAGTCCCGGCTACTGAGAAGGTCCTGGGGCTTCCACCCTCTGAGCCCTGGATCCATTCCACATCTGCTTTTATATTCAGGGAATCTTGCTGCTCAGCAATCCCAGGCTTTCCTTCCTTAGGCACTCTTTCTCAAACTGATCTTTCCTCGACTATGCTCACACCACCACAACAGTGGTGCGGTCTGTCTTCCTGATTCTTGGCCCTACCCAATTTCTCTCTCTACTTGTAGGAGGAAGAGTTCATTGACTGGTGGAGCAAGTTTTATGCTTCCACAGGAGAGCGAGAGAAATGTGGCCCCTACCTGGAGAAGGGCTACGACACGCTGAAGGTAACACTGGCCGGGGGAGGCTTTCCAGGGCAGCTTCCTGGGTTTGAGAAGAAGTGGATCAGGAAATGCAATGAGAGCATCTCAGATGCCTGGTTGGCACTGCAATGGGCTCAGGCGTGGGTCGTGCGGTTGGTGGGCATGATAAGGGCTCTCTCTTTGCCCAACCTAGTGTCAATGATAGGAAGCTGCTGGATGGTCTTGTCTGGTCCCTAAGAGAGAACCTGCTTGACTCCAGGGTCCAGAGTTCAACTTGGGCTCTCGACCTGCTCCTGGCAATGGGTAGGATCGGGGTCCATTGCTCCCTTGTCACAGTTTGGCCTGGACAGGGACAAGATGCTGCCTAAAGTGTTTGCAACCCATAATCCATGTGCTGTGCCCAATGGGGAGTGTTTCTCCATGGTACCCCCAGAATACAAGGTCAATGCTATGTTTCAGCACTTCTCAGCATGTGCATCCTTGGGTGACCACTCTGGGTCCTTGGGTGGGCAGCGTGGCACTGGATGCCCCCAAGTAACGGTCTCCTTAGGGAGCATGTGGTCCAGCCTGAGTCCTTCTCAGAGACACCTCTGTCCTGTAAGCAGTGCCCTTTCTTTCCCTGTAGGGCAGAGGTACACCAATGTCCACTTTAAGGGCCTCAGGCTGATGTCTCTGGCACAGCTGTTTCTCTCCAAGAGCCACAGGATTTCCCTTCCCGCGCCGTTCTTGCATTTTGCCATGGAGAACTGTGGTCCAACAGCCTGGATTGTTCAGAGTCTGTGGCTCTGGGGAAGGCTGGATGGATCTACGAGCAGGAGGCTTATCAAGAGCAGGGTTGGTGTGCCGTATCTGTCTCGTAGCAGAGGTGTGGTCAAGGGAGTTCCATGGGGCTAATGGGTGCCTGCCGAGCTGGGTTCTTTCCTTCATGCCAATGGGGAACCCAAAGGCGAACCCCAACGCTTCCCGCCTTCTCCCCCCTCTAGGTCTACGAAACGGAGCTGGAGAATGTCGAAGACTTTGGCGGTCTCTCCGATTTCTGCCACACCTTCAAGCTTTACCGGGGCAAGACTCAAGACGACAACGAAGACCCGACAGTCGTGGGGGAATTCAAGGTTGGTCGACCCTTCTCCTTTGAGAGAGGTGGCTGAGTCTCTGGAGAAGAGGGTTCCTTGAAATGTATGGACCTTGGATGCTCAGACCCTCTGGAAGCCGTTGAGCAAATGCAGATGGGTGCCTTTGAGCATGCCTACGGAGAGAATGCCACGAGGAACCCCCTTGGGTTCAACGGGACTTGCATACAGGTTGATTTACCAGAGTCCCACTAGTTCAGTGAGTGGGTCTACTCTAGCTGGGATGGTTCAATGGCTTGAGGTCTGGTGTGTGTGTGTGTGTTTGTTTATGATGGTGGTTTCAAACCACATAACCTCCTGTCTATAGAACTTGCCTAGTGTTGCTCTTTCTTTGCCACTGGTGTGTCTGTGAGTCTACCGGCAGTGATGTAGTACCAATCTGCTTGATGCCTCCTGTGCAGTGGGCATCTTTCAGCGGTCTCTGTGACGACCTGTGCGTTGGGTTGGACATTTTTTCACCCACACCTGATGGCCTTCTGCAGTACGTAGGGCCCTTCTAGGCTGCTAAGACATTCCAACCCAGAGCGAACGGGGAGGGGCATCTCCCAGGAGGCAGAACACCTCTGTGCTCTACCTGGAAGCAAGGTGCCACCACCTGAGGGCAATTCCTTGACCAAAGACTCAAAGGTGCATCATTTTGGGGTGCTATTAGCCCCACCTCCGTCATTCCGATTGCTAGGTGTTATGGCAAAATCCAGTCAAAAACGTGGACCAGCGGGCATCCATCAGTGTTAATTTCAGCTCCAAATTGCTGCTACAGTAGCTTAAGAAGCCAGCGTAGGCATTTACCGTCACACTCCGAGTCGTGCCACTGGTGTGCAATACCAAATGCTGACACACACGGCAGAACTCGTGGCAGTTCACAGCTGAGATTTACGTCCATAGGCTGGACACCCGCTGGTTCAACTTATAGATTTCTGGCCACTGTATGCCAGGAACGGTGGCATTTGTCACTCGGAGATATACCTCCCTGCGGTGGCTGCGCCAATAGCTGCTGCAGCTGGCATATTGATTCTTCTTCTTTTCCTGTTGACACCCCACCCCACCCCAAAAAACCTGACATTCCCATGATGCTGAGAGCTATACCACCGCTCCCATCCATGACTCATTTCTGCACTTGCATGGCATGGTGTCAGGATATATTGGGGCGGGGGTAAGGCTTGGTTAGAGCAATGGTGGGGGGGCACATCAGCAGAGCCCCTTGAAGGGATGCTAGGCAGGCAGTACCACCCTTTCAGACAGGCCTGTGCCATCTCCTGGCACTCCCAGCTGGCAAGATCCACCCCACCCGTGGTCTCTCTTTTTGCAGGGGTCCTTCAAGATTTACGCCCTGCCGGATGACCCCCTCCTGCCGCCCCCCCCTCGCCAGTTCCACCTGCTTCCAGTCAGGGGCCCCCAAGAATGCCTGGTCCGCATCTACATCATCCGAGCCTTTGACCTGCAGCCCAAAGATGCCAACGGAAAGGTGAGGCTGTGGGGAGGTGAGGTTGGAAGTAACCCAGGGAACGAGGGGCTTCTGAGAAAGTTAGGTCTGACTACTCTCCTGCCCTGGAAATCCATCCTCACGTTCCCTTGGAATCTCATTCCCTAACCTCCTCTGGCTTAGTCACTTTTAAAGGGTTATGCTATTAAAAACAGTGATACTATTGCACACCCCTCAATGTACAACTATCATGCCAGAAGGGGCTAGGCTAAACCTATGGGGAACGAAAACAACACATTTTGCTGGGTGGATGAATGCTGAAGAGGGTCTCCCACCAGGGCAGGAGTGTCTGGGAGTCACTCAATAGACATCGAAGTGAAGTAGGAAGGTCAAAGAAGGATCAAGTAAAAGGGGGAGACTTGCACAGAGGACTACTTTTCAGTGACTGTGGAGATAGTCAATCCGTGTAGCATTTATATCCATGCTATTTATGCCCCACCCTGTGTAAAAAAGGAAGATCTAGCCGACGGCTCAGAGGATGCAATTGAAGTAGTTACCTTCTTAATCTAATGTTGACATTTTAATTTTTAAAATATTACGTCTATTTCATATACGTGCATAACCTTTAATGGTGCAATGCTTTGATGCGAATAATGTTTTTTTAAAGCCTTGGTACCATCTTGCTGAAATACATTTATTTTCTCTTATGCAGTGTGACCCTTATGTGAAGATTTCTGTGGGGAAGAAATCCATCAATGACCAGGATCATTATATCCCGTGTACGCTGGAGCCAGTCTTTGGAAAGTAAGAGCTCTCTTGAGTTCTAAACAAAAAAGGTGGATCTGCCATCTTGTCTTTCTTGTGCCACTGTCACATTCAGAAATGTGTCAGCCCCAGGCCAGCTAGCTTTCTGGGAATGGGCGGGGGATAGAAGGGAAAAATACACTGCAAACTTTATGAAAGTCTTGCTGAAATCTTGTTGCTTGAAGCCGTGAGTCACAACTAGAAGAGGCCATTGAATTGGGAGGGGTTTGGCAAGTCAGCTTTTGATTTAAAGAGGCCTGCTGTAGTTGTGACTTACTATACAACTACATTAACTTACTGTACCAAGCAACAGGATTTCAGCCATTGTAAATTAAAAATCAGCTCAAAGAATGAGAAAGTATCAGTCATCTGCATATGTGATTCGTCGTCGTTTAGTTGTTTAGTCGTGTCCGCCTCTTCATGACCCCATGGACTAGAGCACGCCAGGCCCTCCTCTCTTCCACTGCCTCCCAGAGTTGTGTCAGGTTCATGTTGGTCGCTTCGATGACACTGTCCAACCATCTCATCCTCTGTCATCCCCTTCTCCTCTTGCCTTCACACTTTCTCAACATCAGGGGCTTTTCCAGGGAGTCTTCTCTTCTCATGAGATGGCCAAAGTATTGGAGCCTCAGCTTCAGGATCTGTCCTTCCAGGGAGCACTCAGGGTTGATTTCCTTCAGAAGGGATAGGTTTGTTCTGTTTGCAGTCCAGGGGACTCTCAAGAGTCTCCTCCAGCACCACAATTCAAAGGCATCAATTCTTCGTTGGTCCACCTTCTTTATGGTCCAGCTCTCACTATTCAGACTATTCAGACCTTTGTTGGCAAGGTGATGTCTCTGCTTTTTAAGATGCTGTCAAGGTTTGTCATCGCTTTCCTCGCAAGAAGCAGGCGTCTTTTAATTTCGTGGCTGCTGTCTCCATCTGCAGTGATCATGGAGCCCAAGAAAGTAAAATCTGTTACCTCCTCCATATCTTCCCCTTCTATTTGCCAGGAGGTGATGGGACCAGTGGCCATGATCTTAGTTTTTTTGATGCTGAGCTTCAGAACGTTTTTTGCACTCTCCTCTTTCACCCTCATTACAAGGTTCCTTAATTCCTCCTCACTTTCTGCCATCAGCATATGTGATTACCGCAATCCAATTGACCACTAAAATATTCTTGTGGTCTAATAGTGAATCACAGACATTTGTGTGAAGTCACCCGCTCTGACAGACAGTGAATTGAAAAAAAAAAAAGCTTGATTCTCTTATCTTGCCTTTATTGGCCCTCACAAACTGAGTCATTCTCCAGAGGTTAAATGAACCACTTCTGGAAGGGCTTGGAACAACAAAAGTGACTCGTTCATTTTTAAGAGTAACCTCCCAAACTCTCCATTCATACCTGTGATGACTTTCCAGATTCTGCAAACATGCCATTTTAGAGAGGTGATGGAGGTTGGGTTTTGGGGACTGGGCGCCCAGTTTTGAGGAGGGCTGTTCCACCTGCATTCGAGGGTACTCTAGGCAGGTAATACCTGTTTCCTTGCCCATCTGCAGGATGTTTGAGCTGACCTGCACGCTGCCGATGGAGAAAGACCTGAAGATCACACTCTATGATTATGACCTCTTGTCTAAGGATGAGAAGATTGGGGAGACCACCATCGACCTGGAGAACCGTTTCCTCTCCAGATTCGGGGCCCGCTGCGGCCTGCCCCAGACATACTGCATGTAGGTGTGAACGTTGTCATCCCTTCCCTTCGTGGCACCGAAAGGCCTCTTTCTCCACCTCAGGGAAGAGGGACGCCCCGGGTAGGAGCGGCGTCTCCCCAGGAGCAAGCGGTAGTCCTAGCGGGTCGGAATTCCTGGTGCTTATTAGATGCCACTCCTGTGAAGCTGAGGCAAGGACCCCAGAGCCAAGGGTGTGTGTGTGTGTGTGTGTGTGTGTCTCAGGGCGAGGAAAAGGGCTGCAGCTTAGAAGGTCCTCCTGCTGGTGGAAGACCCCCGGGCATCCGCCCTCATCGGCTCGAGCAGAAAGGGAGGCCAGGCTGGCAGGACTTCCTCCGCCCAAGGAGAGCCCCTGAGCCATTGCCGGCTGGAGCCTGGACTCAAAAGTACAGTCGCAGACATGGAGGCAATGAGGAGGATGCTGGTGGTGGGTGGCTCCCTGCCCGACACCCGCTGAGTCAGCTGCTCAATGGCTAGTCAACACCCACAGATGGATCATGTCTCGTAGCCCACAGCTCTGGGAGATCCCTGGCTCCCCATTTCCTGTGAGAAGTGGCTCTTCCATCCAAAAACAGAGGGTGTTAGGCAGGACGTACCTGGGTTCCAATGGATTTTAAAAATTTTTTTTAAATTTTTAAAATTACTTTTCTTCCTTGATCTAGAACTGTTTGCTATCATCTAAAATAACCTGATGTTTCAATAATAGAGTTTGTAAACATTTGCAGGGAGCATAGGTGGGGAATGCTACAAAAAAGTTGCAGGAAGTTTCCCCAAGCTTTGGGGACTATAATACCGCCCACAGTACCTGGAGATAAATATGCGTGGAGACACATTTCTATCCACATATGGGACAAGCATTATAACTTCCCCTCAACAGCAACTCAGCTTCACTTTTCCAAAGAGAAAGGAAAGCAAGAATGGATACTACAGTTGTGGTTTTCAACCTTCAGTTCTTCCGGAGGTCAACCCCATGAAGCCCAGCCAACATGGCTCATGGGTGCAAATGTCTGGAGCCACACTTACCCAGACCAGCTATTCTGCGATACTGAAGATTTTTTTTAAAAAACGTTCACTTTGAAATAGCCAAATCTGACGTGAGCCTATTTTTCACAAGGTTTTATGGGGAGAGGGAGAAGGAAAGGCTCCTCCCCCAATTGAAATGACCTAGGAAGGCTTTTGATTAGAGAAGGTTTAGTGGTTCGGTGCCATTTGTTTCCTGGTGGAACTTCTGCTCTGTGGTTCGGCACCCCACCCCGTCCAGCGGCTGCCAAACCACAAATCAGCTTTTCGGCCAGAAATCTGTGCCCACCTCTGCTCTAGGTTTCCACACCGTCAGTTTCCTGATTTCCTCTGCTACCTGTTTCTAACTTTGCATCTATTTCCTTGTTTTATGCCTGCAGTTCGGGCCCGAACCAGTGGAGAGACCAGCTGCGACCTTCTCAGCTACTTCACTACCTCTCTTTGCAACGCCATGGCAAGACCCCGATTTACAAGCCCGACCGGATCATCTTCGAAGATCAAACCTACACTCTCTCCAACCTTGGTAAAATAATAGTGGGTCCTCTGGTCTTCTCCCTTCTTTCCTCCTTCCACTGTTGTCTAATCTGAAGCCCCACTTGGCTTGGCCCTCTTCCTTTCGTTTCAAGAAGGCAGGTGGACCTGTTCTGCTGGGGGGGTGTGTGCCCCAAAGAATTAGGCCAATGCGTGGGGTCTGTGTGTGTGTCTGTTGCCTCCCACCTAAGGTGTCCTGGCTTAGCGCCTGAGCTCTGCGTCAGTCTGAGGATAGCCGTTGGGCAATATTGATGGTCTCAGGGTCTGAGCAGCCACCTCAGACACAGTTATGCAGACCACGTGGTCACACTCTTCCCCTCTTGGATCAGAGGGTAGTTCTGTTTCCATGATAGACCTCACTTATAATGTTGCTACCCGTACAGGTAAATTAGCCTGTGGAGTTTTATGGAGATTGGGGACCCTCTTTGGTCACATTCCGTGGTGATGGATGTCATTGGACTGGAAAAGAGAAAGGTGGGAAATGGAAAACAAAGCCGGGCGGAGGGCAGGCATGGAGAGAGGCAGAGGTGTGCAGCCTGTGGCCTTTGCATACAGCCCCGTGATGTGGGAGGATGACCAGGATAAAGGAGCAGAGAGGCATCCGCTGGCTTGGGCTGGATTTACCCCCACCCCATCACCGGCTGTGATCCAGCCTTCAAGTGGATCCACGGAGACCTGGGTGGCCTCAGCCAGCATTGAGCCTCGCTCTGTTTTCTCAGGGCTCAGGGCAAACTGTGTGAGACAAGCTTCCATAGCCAATGGCAAAGGGCTGGAAGGACAACTTGCAAAGCCCAAACCTGCACATTTACAAATGTCTGCTGAAATGAGAAGTAAGCGATGCCAAAGGTGAGCAGGAAGAGACCAAACAGGGCCGGCCCATCTCCTCGATGCTGCGGTCCTTCTTCTTAGCCCTGCCATCGTCTCCACCCGGGAGAGGACATCTCCACAGGGGGCCCAGAATTGGGCCCCATCTCGCTGAAGAAAGGGGTCGTCCACCGTGGGTACAGATGCTTCAGTGAACCTGAGAGGGGGCTGTGAGATGTTTGTTCTGTCGTCTTGGGATTAATGCGGGAACAGCTCAGAAAAGCTGCCTCCCTCCCAGGAGCATCTTCTCTGAAACTCTGGACTTCTGGGTGGCAGGTTTGGGAGGGAGGTGGCTTGACAGCTTGACAGAAAGGAGGATCTGCATCGCCCCCCAAAGAGGAGACTCAATTGCCATAACATCTGTGCATGTTAAGGTAGAAGCACCCGGCGTAAAATTAGAAGTGATTCTTAGAAGTTACCTGGAAGCACCCCGGGATTGATCTGAGTGGGGAAGATGGTGACTAGGTGACCCATGTTCCTGCTACTGTGGAGCTTGCCGGACAGGTGTGACTCACAAAAACGGTGGCTGACGCCAAGGTCCCAGACCGACCTCCTGCTGCTGCTGGTTTAACTGGGCGACACGGTGGTCTCGTAATGTGCCGCCTGGCAGATGATGAGTTCGTGGCAATTTGCAGTAGTGAGTCACATGATCCCTTCTTGCACACGTGTAAATCACCAGCAGGACTGGGGACACTCTTTAAATTGGAGTAGGGCTGGGTGCCTCTTGGAATAGGGGGCACCTTTCAAAGGGGCATGTTCTTCTGGCTGCTCTGGAGATGAGAGAGGTGGGCCACCCGAGGTTTTAGGGTGGGTCATGGGACTTGTGACTCCTCATTCTGACTCCATTTATAGAGTCCGTTGGCAGGAATTGTGTTTTGAAACTTGCTAGCCAGGGTATGTTGTGGCAGTTGTCCTCCAAAAACAAAAAAGGACCTTCTCCCATCTCTGCTCTGGCCTTCCAAGTTCCAGTGGGCCAGGCTTTCCTCCCTGAAGCAGAACCTTTCAGCTGCCCTCGGTGTGCTTTTCCTCTTGTGGCACAGATTGTTCCGACTCCTTAGCTGCACTCTGCGTCCTGATTGTACTTGTGGGTGCAAAAACAAGCAAGCAAGGGACAACAGAAGAAGAAGTCAAGGTGAGATTTGGAGAAGCCAGGAGGGGCCTCTAGGCATCAGCCAAGGAGGGCAGAACTCAGCCTATACATCAGGGGTTCTGAACTACATCTCCTAGAAGCCTTCACCCCTTGCTGCTCTGGCCAGGATTCCTGGGAGTTGTAGTCCAAGAACATCTGGGGACTTGAGGGTGGGAACCACAGGTCTAGATACAGCCGTTGAGGCTCCTTAGTTGAAGAGGTGGCGGGACCTGTCTCTGCCTGGCGCATGGGGAAGTTAATTTGTCAGGGGCAGGTCTCAGAATCATTTTGAAGGTGATGTCCACGTTGCTGCCTGTGGCAGCAAAAGCAACCGAGAATTGTGTGGCGCCTCAGAAACCTGCGACCTTTACCTGAAAGGAGCTTTCATGATCCTCAGGGCATGCCTTTAGATAGAAGTCATAGAAAGAAATGGTGGTTCCCAGAATATCCGTGAAGCTCTCCAGTCCTCCAGGGGAGGTTCTTTGGAGGCTGAGTGCTGGCCACTGGGACTTCTTTCTTGTGAGGTCGAAACCTTTCACTCCTCATCCAAGCAGCTTCTTCAGTCGGAGGAGAGTTGGCAGGAGAGCCCTGGACAGATCCCCGACCTTGGTTCCACTCCCCTCTGGTCTGAATAGGCTCCTTAGGTGGACAAAGGACTCGGGGGTGAGGGAGAATCCCAATTCTGCCGTCCGTCTCCCCCCACTGCCCGTCTCCACCCACTGCCATGGGTCATTGATGGTCTTTCTGGTGGGTGTGGTCTTGATCTTTCTGGGGACAGATGAAAGGGCAGCATGATAGAGAGGAGACAGATGGCATCTGTGGTTACCAGAAGTAATTTCTCTGAAGGTTCTGTGCTGGGGAGGCAGCTGAGGTCTGGTATACTGGTCTCCTGGCCTCAGAGGTGGGCTTGCACCCGGCTCTTCCCCTCTTTCACAGAAACCTGTTCAAACCCAACAATAAGGCTTGGGCTTTGACCTTGTGACTTGGGGGGGGCAGGGGAGGGGAGGGTGGTCTGGGAAACAGCTGAGCTGGAGCTGAACCAGGTAGGGCATAAAAAGGAACCTATAACAAGCTGAGAGCCCAGAGCCCATTTTCACAAGGCTCCTTGTGGCTGCAGCTTGGTTCCATCATCTCCGCGAGGATGCTGGGGATGGGGGTTGTTTTGTGGGAAGTGGTCATGGGGGTTTTTAATTTCGGAGATATCCCGACAGGCTAGCTGGCACAGCACTCAGCCCTTTCGGCTTGGGGGAGCAGGAGGTGTACCTGCCACACTTCAAAGGTACACCAAGAGCAGATGGCCCGGTGTTGCTGGCGCACTTCGGCTCAGCCCAGGGGCTGCCACGGATAAAGAACACATGGCCCTTTGCAGGCGGGCCGAGGCAGCTCTCCTCTCCTCCTCCAGCTCGACCTGAGCTCTTGGGGCGACGGCCCCCGAATTTTCCCAGGCAGTCCCACTGGCCCGCAACCCACCTTTCCAGTGGCAGAAACTCCTGGGCAGACTCTGTCGCTCAGAAGGTCCACATCGGAAAGAGACTCCGGCCCCAACCCAGTGGCCGTGTTGATGGCCCAGGGGTTCTGGGCGCAGGGCCAGCCTGACCGGAGGGAGGGGGCATGAGGTAGGCTCCCACCTGGGGCACTGAGTGAAGGGGGTGGCAGTTGCCAAGATGAGGGAAGGAGGGGTCTCAGGTGACCTGGAGAAGGTGCCACGTTGAGTGGGGTGAGAGCTTAGCGGTGGTGGCGACTCTTAAAACGTACCACCTGCAGGCAGCCAAGGGAGGGCCTGTAACCTTTTCCTGAAGGCTCTGTAGGGTGTTTGGGTGCAGACGTGGCTGACGTAGAAGTCTGTGGCTGGGGACGGTCCTGCAGATATCACTCCTCTGCAATTTGGGGTTTAGGGTAATGTTCAAAGGGTGAAGACATCAGCAAGCGGAGAACATTGAAGAGCCTGCTCCAGCTAGCCAGGCCAGGCTGGAAAATAGTGTGGGGGGGGAGACAGTCCCTTTGGGTCTAGTTGTTGTTGTTGTTTAGTCGTTTAGTCGTGTCCGACTGTTCGTGACCCCATGGACCAGAGCACGCCAGGCCCTCCTGTCTTCCACGGCCTCCCGGAGTTGGGTCAAATTCATGTTGGTCGCTTCGATGACCCTGTCTGTCCATCTCATCCTCTGTCATCCCCTTCTCCTCCTCTTGCCCTCACACTTTCCCAACATCAGGGTCTAGTTATTCCACCCTAAAGGGCCAGCATCTTGCAGTAACAAGGGTTAGAGCCCCATGAGGGAGCTAACAGGAGCTGCCACTGTGATGACGTGCATAGGGCTGGACACTAGAAAGCCCACAAGGCTCGAACTCCACGAGGGCCACCCACGCCACACAGCCGAGCTTTCCACAGCCTAAAAACGGAGCAAGAGTGCACAGAAAGCTGAGCAGAAAAGGCGAGGCAGGGCTCGCGAGCACTTTTGGGCAGACTGTGGATTTGGAAAAGCCGGAGGAGGGCGGCAGGGACTCTTGTGCGGTTGCGTCCACCACTGCTGCACAACCTGTGCCCCTTGGGGGGGAGGATACTGCAAAGCTGCCGGGGGTGGGGGCGCAACTGCACAGCACAGCAAGGATCCCCTGCTTCGGTGCCTGTGTGTGTGTCACAATTGTTTCCTTGCTCCGCAGAGTTCATGGCGCTTTGTTTAAAGTTAAACCCGTGTCTTGGCCAAGCTTGGGTGGGTGGGAGGCTGCTGATGTGCCAGGCCTGGCGGGCCAGAGACATGGCAGGGGGTGGGTGGGTGCTGAACCACTGGCAAAAGGAGGCACAAGGCTTCTCCGTGTCTGGGCAATCGAAGAGATACAAGATGGAACCGGCACGCTTAGGTTGGGCTCAGCCCCGCTAGACCCAGCCACACAGGGTTTGTTGCGAGAAGTGAGGGAACAGGGAAGGCTGTGAGAAGGGGCTCTGGAGCCCAGCACATGGCCTGGCTGTGCCCAGAACAAAATAAACCCCAGACCTTCCGTGGAAGGAGTCCGCAAAGCACGAATCTCTGCCAGGAGTATTCTGCCTGAAGCGTTCTGGGATCTGGAGTCCAGAAGAGGCATTTTCCCAAGTTTCTAGTGATCCAGGCAATTAGGTCTGCCTTCTTTTCCAGCAAAAAGATCCAAGCGGTCTATTATCCAGGGGCAGATTTGTGATATTTCTTTGCTCCGGTTTCAGCCACACCGTGACTCAATTCCTCATCTCAGCACTGTCTCCTCTCCTCCCTTTGCTTTCTCCCTGCCCCACCCTGAACCGTTCGACAGCTGTGGTGTTTCATGTGTGTGTGTGTGTGTGTGTGACATAGTGTGTGGCACTTTCTCTAAGCATCCCCTGCCGTCCTTTTGGATGGGGTGCTTTTCATCCGTTCTTTGGGTCGAGCGAACGTAGGCAGTCGGCTGGTGGAGTGACTCCTCTTCTTCTGTTGGTTTAGAAGAGGATGGCAAACCCTCCAACCCACACCTGGGGCCCGTGGAGGAGAGGCTCGCTTTGCACGTCCTGCAGAAGCAAGGCCTGGTGCCGGAGCACGTGGAGACCCGCCGCCTGTACAGCCCCTTGCAGCCGGATATCGAGCAGGTGAGGCCGGGAGGAGACCAGCAGCCACATGCAAGGCGGTTTGTTGGCGTTTGCTCTTGTTTCCTCCGCTTCGGCTATCAGGATAAAAGCAGCAATGTGCCTCTTGTCTCAGCGACTCGCCTGGCCCTTCTGCCAGCGAAAGGCACTGGAGCCACCATTACGGACAAGAATATCCAAGCCTCTTGGGTGTCTGATGTCCTCCCAAGAAATGCCATATCTGGGGTGTTGTCATTGGAATCATGAGGACTAGAAGCTGGCTTTTAAAAGGAAGGCTCAGGTTTCTGCTCAGTAGCCTTCTCTAGAATCTTCAGCCGGCATTTACCGCCCTAACAAAAACCTCCTTTGCAGGGTTGTGGTTTCCTTCAAACGAGAGACCCCCCTTTCCCGCTATCTGAGGCCCCTCATGAGAGATACCAGGATGCATAATCATAAAATGGAAGCAGGGCTTTGAGAAATGGGTTCTTAATAGATCACAGGGATGGTGGAGGCAACAGACAAGGCAGCACAGGGCAGCATCATGTGGTGGCTGGGGTCTTCTAATTAGGCTAGAGGGGCCTTGGTTGGAGTCTCTGCTCACCCACCAAGCTACCTGGGTGATCTGGGGCTGGTGAACGTACTGGAATGATCCCCAAGTCCCAGGGAGTCCCCCCTTGGCAAGAGCCAGCTGGGGCATCTACCGGCCGGCCATTTCTCTCCCTTCCACACATTGGTTTCTTTCCAGCTTCCTCTTCCTTACAGTTTAAAGGGGCTTTTGGCCATCTTCCCCGAAGAGGCGGGGAGCGCGATGCGGTGCTGCTTCTCGGACGGCTCCCCACCTTGTGGCTTTTGCTTTCTTTGCAGGGGAAGCTTCAGATGTGGGTGGACCTCTTCCCGAAATCGCTCGGGCATCCCGGGCCCCCGTTCAATGTGACGCCGCGAAAAGCGAAGAGGTGAGGGGTTGCAGGTTCTGCCCTCGTGCACGCACGCCGACACATAGGGGCTTCCCATAAAGCGTGCGGGAAAGTTACTTTCTGGATTGCAGTTCCAAGAATCCCACTGCCAATTGCGATACTTTGGGTCTGAAAAAGTGATTGTCCAAGTTCTCCTTCCGGGTGGGGATCCTGCCCTCACTGGTGGTGCCAGAGACTCCCGGTGTGGGAGGGGGTCCGGGAGCAATCCGGAGTGGATAAGGGCTATCCGTTGGTCAGGTGCTCAGAGAAAGCCTCTTCATGGCCAGAATGGGAACTAGCAACAGAGAGAGGAGAGGAAGGAAATGGCAGGAGGAGAAGGCTTTCTGAATTTCTACATTTTGTTGATTTAGGCCGTCTTGACCCAAAGAGATGCCTCAGAAATGAATGCTACAGCCCCACAAGAGGTCTCGTCTCTAGAAGGAACCAAAGAGTAGACCTTTGGTCTAGATGGGTGGGGTATAAACATGCATGCATGCATGCAT